AATGAAATTCGAAGACAAACAACCTGAGTGAGAAGTCAGAGCAACACACTGCAACCAGCTGACCTATCACTGGAGATCCATCAGAGGGCTCTGGATCTCATTGGCTCTGGGGGTTATATGGGATTTACCACTGGGATTTGTCTCCGTTTTTCCAACTTGAAGGCTTTGGGTTGGTTTCATTCCGTCCCCTTCCTGCCGATCATTTGCAGATTTATCCAGCGCGGAGCCGGCGAGAGAGCAGCACGAGGCAGAGAGAGCTAACATCCGAGCAAACAAATGACAGCTCTCCTCAGATCATCTGTCTGCAGAGACGAGGGCAGTGTTTCACACTTTTTTTTTCCTCCCAATCCTCAGGCCTGTCCGCCGATCCCTCATTTCACAGCCAGCCATCCATCCTGAGCGGACCTCTTAATCTGGACCTGCCTGGGCTGTGGATGCTGGGACGTTCACAGTCACAAACAAATGACCGGGGCTGAAAAGTAACAGCTCACCTGAGGTCACTATGGACGCCCCCTGCTTGCTGAATGAATCGGGAGATGGGTTAGAGATTTTAGTGTGGGACAGTCAAAAGGCAGGTCGGACAGTCCCAGGAGCAATTAGGGGTTAAGGACTTTGCTCAAGAGCCCCATGGAGATATTAGGGTGCTGATCCATGGGCTACCTTCTGATGTCAGGCAGCGCCATAACCCGCTGACTCAGACACCAACCCCAGGCCAATGAGATCTCAGTGATCAAAATTTTATTTTCTGACTTTTGAATGCTAGAAGTGTCCCAGGGAAGTGGGTGTGGCCACGTGTGGGCGGGGCTTGTTTTTTGTTCAGCAGACTCAACAGGTCACATGTGACCATGCCGAAACTGGAACAGGAATGTTGCCACAATGTTTTAGGTGCAACATAGACTATGGGGAATAAACTTTGAAATATTATTACAAATGACCACTTTCCCACGCACAACACTCTGAACAACTGAAAGTGAGTGTGGTCAGCTCATTACCCAGTTACCCATAAAGCATTGTGATGATTTGGCCTCATCTCTCTTCAGATGACATATTTGTATAAAAATGTACATAATGTTAACAGTTATCCCAAGCAGAAATCAAAACAGGTGATGTGTGGGATAGGGGTCCGTGCTTGTGTCCAGAAGGTGGTGGGTTTGAATCCCATGATTATTAGGCCCTTGAGCAAAGCCCTTGATCCCAACTGCTCTTGGGGTGCTGGTTGACCCAACTCCATGACCCCAGGCTTTCCTAACTTGTATGACACTTTGGATAAAAGTATCTACTAAATAAATAAATGTTTTCATAGATTATTTTTGGGTTTGGGAGGATTTGATGTGTGAATAGTACAGCAATAAAATGGGTACTCTCTTTTCCAGGTATCATCACATACCTTGTTATCCAGTCTGATTTGATTGTGAAGGTCATCCTGCAGTGGGTAAAATTTAGCATCACTAGTTACTCTCTCTTCTTGCCCCGGAGACATCACCATCCGCCTCTCTCCCGGGCTGCCATTTTTAATAACACGATTCGGAGCAACGTGAGAATAATTTAGACTTTTCATTACTAAGCATGAGGAGGCTTGGCGCGGCTTTATCAAGGGATGGATTTCTGCTGTGTACTTTGGCCTGGTGTGGCATGTGACCTCAACAGTGACGGATGTCGTCCTAATTTTAATCTGAAACCAAAGATAAGAATCAGTCTCATGTGAGCTATGAGTAAACGGCCCAGAATACACCGGGACGTGGCTTTGCTCTGGGACACGAACGTGCACCCGGACTGTTATAGCAGGGGACTGGCCACATGGTATGGGTGCAGGACGCTCGTGAAATCAGGGACAGAGCGGGAAGCTGGTTTGAATGGGAGCCTGGTGATGGAGAATCTGAGGGCGGTTCCTGAAATAGTATAGTACACCCCCCCCCCCACACACACACACACACACACACACTCACAAAACCCCAAACAAACCCAGAAACCAAACAGCCGCAAAGGAAGTTTTCTCAAGGCTTCTCATTTTGAATAAAAACAGCTCTCCAGGACGTGCCGGCAAGATTATAATTGCGTGACGCAGATGGTGAATTTGTCAGCAATTAGAAACTAATTAAATATCATTTTTAAATTAAGATATTACACCACAATCAGGTGCCTGAATTATTCTTCAAATCACGATTTCAGTGGCTTACCTGTAGAAAACGATTTCCTGTAGAAGTGAGCGGAATGAACTGTGACTGGATGGACTGATGGAGATTGAGTGTATAGCAAAGAAATACAACTCAGTATTAGATTTTCCTCCCTAGATGTCATCAATAACTCAGCCCCCATCATTCAGTGGTGTACTGGAGCAGTAAATTTTCATGCTTTAAGAACAACAGAAACTAATGATAATGCTTTACATTAACTGCACCTTCATAATGCCTTGATAATGCATTCATAGTACATTCATTGCACCTTCATAATGCATTCATAGAACATTCATAAGCAGCATATACCTCATGTCACGCCCGGCTCGTCCGATCCTCGTGTGTGCCACGCCCCCCTCGTTACCTTGTGTTACTTCCGGATTGTAATCACCTGTTGCTTGTTTAGATCAGCCTGTCTTGTGTATTTAGTCCGCGTCTAATCAGTATCCCCCAGATCTGTCATCGTGGTGTTATGTTACTTGCTGTGTGCCGCTGTCTCCGTACAAATAAACCCCGTTTGTCCGTCTTTACGGCTCCGCTCGCCTGCTTCTCCGCTCGCCAGCTTGCAAACGTGACACCTCAACACCTTAACAAACATTGTAATCAATGGTTACACTGTTTGTTATTAATGTATATTAAAGCCGTTAAGGTATGTTAGTATGTTAAGGTATATGCTGCTAATGAATGCATTGTGAAGGTGCACTGAATGTTCTATAGATGCATTATGAATGCATTATTAGGGTGATGTAAAACGTTACCAAAAAAATGAGTTGAATTTTTTGGTATCCATTATTAAATAACATATTTCTATGAATATATGCTCACTGGGCACTTTATTTAGTGTCCCTCTGTAGTGCCAAGTATGAGTCCTTTTTTGACTCCAAACCGCTTTGAGAGTTGTTGATGCTGCAAGAAAATATATAACTTATTCAAAAATAAATGAATAAGTGATTTACAGTGAGCAGATGTGTAGATATAAGGACCTCATTCAGCAACAGTTAACATGCTGCAAGCCTAAATATGAATGTTAGCCCTTAAACAAAGAAAAACTGTTAACATCCTATAGTTCCTGTTAGATTGTTTGTAACCAAAAACCTGCACATAGCTGATTTAGCATAGTTGTTGGTAAATGTGCGCAGCAAATTAAAACACCAAAATGGAGAATGGAAATACTCATTTGTTTTACCCCCAAACAGACTGATGATTATTTAATTAACGACTTGTTTTGGAACAGGAGGCTGGGATGCTGTACAAACTAGTGTACATATGCGATATGATAACATTTCCTGAAGAAGCCTTTTCACATAATGGAAACTATCTGGAGGTTTCTGGCTGTACTTTTAATCTGAATGAAGAAAACTTCTCCATGAAAAGAATTCAGGAGGGATTTCATATGGTGTAGCAGGTTCAATTTAGACAACTGCAGATCAATCTTAGTCATTAAGCCCAGTCTAATTGTGTGCTTAGAAGTGTTACATGCAATGAACCACTCCATTTCAGGCAAGATATAAGGTCTGTGGAGGGACAAGTTAAGAATGCTCTCGGGTGAGACCACCCCCCTCCTCCAATGCCCCCTCCCCCAGGGTTTTGGGACGGAGGGTCGGGCGACCTGGGATAGTTCAGTCATTCCTCCCCAACTCTGAGACTCAAGATATTTTCCCACCAAAATGGCATCATTGTTTTTTGTTTCTCTTCTGTGCTGAATCCATGAGTTGTGCTTTGAACCCACCCTAAATCAGAAACCCCCCCCCCCCCAAAAAAAAAAAAAAACAACCATCCTCTGCACGGTCCACAGTTTTCTATTTGATATCCCAAACAGAGGGGTTTCACACCTTTACTCACTACATAAATGTAATCGTACAAGCAGATTCGATAATTCTGTCAAGCACATGATTGTATTGGATCACCTTTAGAGTTTAGAAGGTTATGCACCGGTAAAGACGTACATATTCTGTGATGTAGTTTTTACATGGATGCCGAATACTTGATAAGCGACTTCTCCAGATGTGCTTTCTGTGACTAGGAACAGTTTGAAGGTGAAAGGCAGGGAGAGTAGTAAATGCTAAGGGTTCTTTACACAACCAACCAGTTGAGTATAAAGAGTCACAGTCACAGAGTACTCAACTGGTTGGTTGAAACAAAATCCTGGTCTGGATTTGTATTCTCTGGACCTGAAATCTCCACCTCTGATTACCACCAATATTCATGTAGTAATTTTTAAAGCGTAATGCAAAAAATGCTAGGTGTTTCCACAATTTTGGCTGCAAGTGTATATGTAGACTTATGCCAAACTATCTTTCAGTGGTTCCTCTGGTTCCGTATGCACATCCAAATGAAGTGTGCAAGAATGAGTCAGTGAGCAATTCCAACAACCCCAAAACAAAACAGCTTATGCACAGAAAACTCAATGTGTGCTTTCCAGGGACAATGAAGGAGTTCAGAGGCTGGTATATCCTTGGGCAAAATGACATCGAGGAGTCACGTCAGACAATGTGAGCTTTGTCCGCTTCCGCTGTTCGCAGGTTCCATGCTGGGAAGATGGAGACCCTTTGGAAATCTGTGTGATCCATCAGGGAAGGACACCCCCGTCCAATCAGGGACGGTGACTTATACGTAAATCAAAGTGTGGAAGAGACACTTCTTAAGGGGACTTTGTAGGGGCTCACACCGGCGGTCACTGTCAGGACAATAAACAAATAGATTTCACTAAGCTGACTTTCCGACCATATTCCAAGAACATAGACATTGGCTGCCACAAAACTGCATAAGAAACTGTGAAAATACCCAATGACCCAAGTAAAGAAAGACAGAGGAGCACATCATCAGTGTATGAAAGTGTGAGTTTATTTAAAGAAGAAGGCTTTGATCCTGTAGATGACCCCCTTCAGAAGGTCTTCTGGCCAGACCTGGCTGCTGCCACTGGCCTACAATTACCAACAGGATCTATGATTGCATTCGGCGCATTAAGCACTTTGTAAACATTTAATAACATTCACAAAAGGGTTGCTTGTTCTAAATGCAATTAGTGCAATGTAAGTCATCTGACAGGAATACTCCTAATCTCTAGTATAGATTGTTTTCATGCAGAATTTTAACATGATAATTGAGTTTTCTGTTCTGAGGCCTCATGTTAACTCACATGATCTGGGTGGCGGGTTTCCGGGGCCTTTGGTGCCGTGGCGGTACGGTGCCGCCCGTGAACAGCCAAGAAGGCGGTTTGCTACTGGCCTGCCATGATTTTATTATGTGTTTAAATAATACTCATAACCTGAACAGCCGACCAGTCCCTGTAGTTAGTGCCTGACCACTTAGCCCCTTGTTGCCACTCACCAGCGGACTTTTAATCCATATGACTTTGATGATTTCTTTTCAATTACTAGCAATGTTTTGTAAAGATATTTTAAACTGCATTAAGAAAATTAAAGAGATACATAAATCCATTCTTCTTCTATAGTTGCTTACTACAGGGCTACAGTGACCATTACATAAACATAATTTCTTACAAAAAAATTGAAATGTCCATCTTATTGCCCATCCTAACCACTATCTGGTGGTTAACTTAGGAAAATATGCATGTTTGTCCAAATTTACTTTTATTTATTTATGTGCTTATACAACACTAAACACATGTGAGTAAAGTCTAATTTAGTTGATATCAGACACAGACATTGGGATTACTGTCCTATTGGGGTTTACCATGGCAACAGCAGCCCATACAATGGAGTTGAACAGACATCATCCAGCATTATTCATGTACACCTTTGACTTATTTACAGCATATTTCCACCAAGTGCTTAAACATCCACTTAGAGTTTTGGTTTAGAAAATTCCTGTACCTGTTGATAAAGGAAACAATATGACCAGAGGTGAATATTATTATGGAATGCATTAATCTTGCACTCTCTGCATGCCCTTAACCCAGTGCATTACTTATATTTAATAATTACTGATGTATAATTTAATAATTACTAACATTTAGGGATAAATATGAAAAAAAAATCTACAACACAGGCAAGCATCTACTTTGTGTTACTTCTTTTTACTAAGCAGCTACAGCTTCTAGCACTGAAACAAATCCCAGAATTCCACCTGAGCTCAATAAAAGCGCATTTAATCCCATCAATGTATCATAGCATTAAAAAAATGTGTAAACCGTTGCCTAAGTGCGAAAAGAGCGTGTTATGAACCTATAAAACGCACAGTTATCCAGTATCTTGGAATGATAATTAGGAAGTGTAGCGTTTATGAGTAAAATGATTGTTTATACTTTATTTTGATGCGTAAACAGCACTACAAAGTGGTTGGGAGGCTGACTGGGCTTGCAAGCACATTTTAATTACCAGAAACTTGGAAATCAATGCGATCCCATCTCGGCCGCTACGTGTCTCTCGGGAAGTCACGCAAGGAGCGGTAAGCGCGCTCCTTTCGGCGAGGCGGATCTCTCTTTGTCCTCACGTGTCGCCGCAAAACGACAGCATCCGTCGAAGGCTCCGTCACAGCCGCATCGCTGCATAAAGACAGAAAAATTTGCGGTTAGTAAATCGTAAATGGACGCCTGCTGGCCTGAATGCAACTGAAGCCTTGCTGTTTTATCATTTTAAAAGATGAATTAATTAAAGAATATGTATTTATAAGAAATAATCCCGGAAGTTTATTACAGGTTATTTGAAATAAGACTACGGTGGGTTTTTAACAAACCTGGGCTAATTAATATTAATATTTATGCAATGTGCACCTACGATGCAAGACAGGCCTAGAAAAAGTTGTAAATGGTTGGTAACAGGTTTTGAATTAAATTATACATACACGTCAGGGTTTTACAGAAATGGAACAAAGACCAAAGTAATAAGAACACACGCATCATAAATATTGTCGCCTCTACAGAAAGGCATCATTAGAACGGCAATTACTCAATGTCATAATAATAATAATAATAATAATAATAACTTAAATCTGACCTCTGGATTGACAGTGAACGCTGGACTGTACGTCATTCCTCCCATGTCAAAAGCGGACCGTCAGCACGATGGAGGGGGGGACGGGGGGGGGGTCATAATTACATGCAAAGAGGGACTTGTGATCTTTTTAATTATTCTGCACTTCATTTCAATTCCACCATTCAAAATGCAACATCAAAATTGATTGCCTTAAAAATCCATTTCTATAATCTCGGAAACCTATAAATAACCCGACTTTGGGAAGGAGAAGACATGTTAGAGCACAAGCAGAGCCTTTTCATTACCGCTGAGTGATATGTTGAGCCTAATTGAATAGACTGCTCTTTGACGAGAGCAGAAAAAAGAGAGTACACTTGTTATCTTCTGAACCTCAACTTGCAAGATAGGGATCTCCTGAATGTCAGCAACAGAAATGGAATTAACAAGAGATCTTTTTATTGTTCTAGAAGGTCATTAGGCTGCCAATTGGATAATTATGGAAATGATCTCTTTGGTTCAGTGGAATGTTTTCTGCTCTCCATAAGGACTTGAAAACGTTCAATCAGCTTCTCTCGTGGGAAAGTTCAGCCATAACTGCAAGTGTACCAGCAAAATCAAATTAAGCAAAGAGATTTCATTAGTATTTATAGCCAGGAGGCATCTGTAAAAGTATGGGCCACTGAAGTTATGTGAGACTCAAAATAGGAAAATGATTTGCTAATGACAAAGGCTAACCGTAGAAGATATACAACCGGGTAATGAACAAGAGCCATTGATTGTCTCTTGAAAGGGAATTCTGGGCAATGTAAAATATTGATGTGCTTTGCGCATGACTTTGGACTTTGTGGCTAACTGTGTGAATTTGTGTTCATTGTCACAAACACTATTTATCACCCCGGGAAAACTGCATAGCTGGACTGAAGATGTTCATACTTCCAGCAACACTGAATATACGAGCTGAAATCCGTAGGTTAAAAACAACGCGAATTAAAAACGTTAGAGTCATTTGTTAACGTGTCTCCGCGTATTTAATCCCTACCTTAGATTATAAATATTTAAACAACATAAATCTCACTACATTGTATTATATGTCAACATGATACATAGCCTCTCCTAGCATATCTGCACTTTTTAAAATAATAATTAAATGCTGAAAATGTATTAATTACTAGAATTTCATGTATATTTGCAATGTTTGGTTCTGTGTAGCATCCGCCGTATTTAGTTATGGATATAAACCAATAAAATCAAAAAAGATAAAAAATTTGAAAAGTTATACTTTTTTTTCTATAATTCCCTTTATTTTCTATACATAAATTACCACCCCTTAATTGGACTTGCAATAATTACATTTAAATGTATTTAAATGTGTTAACAACTAGTCTTCATCGCAGTACCAATGTTCAAATGGATTAATGTTAAATAATACCTGCATAAATCGGCTTGTAGGCCTAAATGTGTAGCCTATGTCTGTGTGTGCGTATATATATATATATATATATATATATATATATATATATATATATATATACACACACACTCATTAATGATTTACATGAACTGCACCTTCATAATGCCTTGATAATGCATTCATAGTACATTCATTGCACCTTCATAATGCATTCATAGAACATTCATAAGCAGCATATACCTNTATATATATATATATATATATATATATATATATATATATATATATATATATATACATACATAGCTAGCCTATATGTAACAGGGATTGACCTGTTTTTGTGTTTACTGTTTGTTTCAAACGAAGAAAAATAATAATAAAAATACAAGTAGCCTATTGCGTTCGTTTATTAAAATATATTTGGGAGAAACATAAATGTCTTTGACGGCTTTGGATTAAATGATCAAAGAAAACGGTCCATGTGATGTGTGGGATGCAGAAGGGATGGGACCAGTACGGCAGCCCCGCTCCCTGGCGGCGCCGAGTCGGGCCGCTCCGTTCGCCGCCAGTTGGCACTGCTGGGTCAGGTAGCGCTGCTTTTCACAACCAGAGATTTTCCCTAATCAGCCCCAATTCGGGTAATTGGGTTTAGACGTGAGTTATGTAAAGTGGGTAAAACATTGGTGTCGGAAATTCTGACAGATTATTAGAATGAGTCTCCTCAAATTGAATGTAATTTACTGTGATATTATAGATATGTATGCATCAATAAGCAGGAGAAGATTGAGTTCAGGGGTCAGTGGAGAGTCGGTCGGAATATGCCGCATTACCGGGCTGAAGAATGGCAGTTTCTTTTAACGGGAATTAAAGGCGAAGGAACTCGCTATTTATATGACTTGGTATTGGACTGCAATGCAAACAGCTGGAATTGAGATAGGCGACACTACAGGCACTGGCCGCAAACTTGATTCCGTATCACTGCAAATAAAACTATCAAGCCGAAGCAGAAATGTTCACATTATTTGACACCGTCACATTATATTGAGGGTTTTGCGGAGTGCGCCTTTTAAAACTGGATAAACACAGGCTGAGAGAACCACTGACACCGTGTACTTATATCTTCACTTCGAAATTCTGGAGAAAAAAAATAATATAGGCCTATATTGATGTTTTTTTTTCAGCTGGTTTCGTACAACCAAGTTTTCGTGTGATCGTTCCGCGTTATACATATGTTTATTATTAAATACACTATAATTGAGTGCGGTTAGTAGCCTAAACTAGATTATGGGAAATTTGGATTTGATATAAACATTTCCCACCAATTAACGCCTGGATGATTAATTAAAGTCTTTTCCGTTTATTGGTTGCAGGAAACCGTCGCGATTTGGTAAATAATATTTTTGATCTACGAACATTAGTACTACATTCACCGTGGTGTTCTCGTGCGTTTTTTTCGTAATCGACGTCAAATTTACATTTGTATTAATGAACAGTGGTGCATGTTTCTAAAGTCAAACATACTCAGATCACTGGGATGATCTCATTTTAGAATCTGACATTTTAGACGGGACTTGGCAAAAAGCAGACTCACTTTCCATATTTATGTTGTATAAAAACAGAAGCTCTTTCAGTAGGAAATTCTGGCATTGAAACAACTGAATACAAACCCGAAACCAACCAGGCATATTACAGCCGCTCATATTTCCCAGTACACGTTTGTCAAAGTAATAATCCATTAATCATGCATCATTGTGGTATTTTCGTACAGACATTATCCTGGGTAAGTAATTATAAAATTATTTGTATACTGTACCAATAGGCTGTCAGCCTTTATTTATTGTAGCAACAGTGAAGTAACAGATGAAGTGCAGGCGCGAGCTCTTTTAAGTCACTAATTTGCGCACTTTAACTGCGTTTTTTAACTTTAATTCAATATCATTTTAGACACGTGGATTAGAAAACAAAAAAACGGCTTGCAACACGACGCAAAATACGGTGTGCATCACGACGCCAGCTATAGGTGCTGAGTGAAAGGTAAATTCTTATGGCGCTTCACTTACGCTATTTACAACGTAAGTCATCGGTAATCGAACACCGCTTTCTCGCGGTACTAAAGTGCTATTTCGGACATAAAATAAATGACAGAAAAACATACAAACCTACTAACACCGCACTTACTTAACACGGCACGTCGGCATGCTAATCCGGCTGACATTTAACTCTAGGTGTCATTTTCCACCCATAGTCAGTCCACATCACGGTTCGTCGTGGGATGCTTGTCCAGATCAGCAGCCCATCATATCTTAAACGATGGCTCATTCCTACGCTAACACCAAGCTTCATCTGTCGCTGTCTTCACAATTAGGGGTTCCAATAAGAAAATAAACCCGTCAGCAATTTCCCAACACGAAGGACCAGTAGCCTACATTACGAGCAACATTTCACTAGCCTACTGATTTGTTTTACATTTATTAGTATTTTAAGGACCATCAAAAAAAAATCCTCGTGAGACAAGACATTTTATTTTTGAAACACACAAAGTGGTAACGCAGTCCGGGTATAATTAATCCAGTTTTAAATATATTTTCTATCTTGAAATCAACTTCTATTTTCATCGTTCCTGTCTGGAAAAAAATAAAAGAGTTGATGAGACGTGCATGTGAAACCTCATTCTTTAACGGATTATATAAGCGCAAATCACTGTCAATATTAACTTAAATATAAACAATAATACCAGAAAAATGCCGCGCCTAAATGATCGCAAACAAGCGCCGTCTGCTTCCGTGGAAGCAGAGTACAGTGCCAGCATGTAATATATACACAGGGAAATATTGAAGCAGCATGGTCGTTTCACACTTTCAGTTGTTGATTTTTTTTTAGATGCAGCGTTTTCATTGGAGACCTGTCTTGCAAACGCTGTCTTTAAAACGCTCCCTTTCTTAATGAAGCGTTGGACCATCTCTGTACTGAAACGTCGATTAGAACTATGGCGCTCCAACTACATGCAAAATTGCAAAATCAATAAAGAATCATACGTTCATCTTTCGACACAAGTCACACATCCTTTAACAATAATTACAGTTATAATTGTTTTCATGTTTCATAATGATAAAAGCATAAAATGTAATAATAATACTAATAATAGCAATAACTACTCATGTTGGTGTAGGCTTATTATTAAAATATATGTTAATCTAATTTGAAATAATTCTATAAAAGCATGTAGCATGCCACTTGCAATATTGTGCGAATTTTGATTTTATCGCTCGGTTATTGATCTCAGTATTTAGCTAGTATCTTGTGTTAAGCGCGTGGACAGGTAATTTAGAGCACATATCGATGTAAAAACTCCAGTATGTAAGAAATTCGTTTGCGTGGCTGCCCCACGCCTTTTAAATCAGCGCCATGCCATGTTCTGTTTTGTATAGCGCGGCAATTATGTTATTTTCTGTTTCGTGCCTTTGCGCGTTGTTGTGACGCTGAACGGCTCCAGCGTGATTCCACAAAAGGGACGGTTAAAAATGAGCAACATCATAATGTTTGACAGAAAGTTGCAGGTTGATAGAGTGGATTCTTTAAGGGGGTGAAAATGGTGAATTCCAAAAAAGGCTAAGATCGTGCCCTCTGGAGGGTATAGCCTTGAGGGAACCATTGTGTCAACCATGAAAAAAAGATCCAATTAAAGATCACATTTAAATGAAAAGTAATTTTTAACGCAAATATGACGTGGATATTTCCCCTCAGAAATGAAATAACGGTTTTCAAGAGAATGGCTGGTTTTGATTAAATCTGACATGCTGACAATTCCGCGTTGATGTAAAATAATTAACATAATAGCCGTAATTAAAAGCGCGCTAACAATGCCATTAATTTATCATACAGTTTTACTAGCTTGCTGCCCCCAACTGCTCTCATCATTAATTAAATGAGTTGCCTTTCAAAGAATCTGCTTTTACACTATAGCGATCGTTTTCATCGCAGTACAATTTAACCTTTCACCTTATAAAACCATTTTGGTTAAAGCACTTTCGTTCAATTTAAGTCTTTAGAAACTTCTTTTTAAGCGCCAGTTTTCCTTTGTGCGCCTTTTGCTTCAAGTGAAGACAGAGCACTAATACTGCATGTACTTTTGTCCTCTGCCCCAACAAGACAATAATATATTTTATTTCTCTATTGTTTAGCACATTTTATAAGCAAGAATGTAAAACCAAACTTCATAACAGCTGATTCAAAACATTTGCCTGAACCCAGATCGGTTAAATACGGTATAAATAAGCGATATATTAAATATTTAAGAATTGATACCGATATTATCGTTTTTATCAAATTTTTAATCAACTCGACTTAAGGTGCTGCGACGATGTGAAACTTAGATTAGTGAAAAGCCTGGATCCAGGTGATTGTAAGCAGTCGTCAGAGTAACTATGATTTAGGGTAACTCTGGACAAGCTTTACGTTTTCATAATTTATTTACTGGAAGTAAAGGTTTTAAAAAGATGAGAGGATGCCAGGTCTACCTCTAAAGCGATTAATTACGCCTTCGAAGGGATTCCCCGCCACCTCGCGTAGGAGGCTATTCCATTCAGAGATAAGGCCATGCGGTACAAATCTACAGTTATTATATTGCTGAAATGTAAAAAAAAAAAAATATCCTTAATCGTGCGTACATTTAATCAGGTGGTGCATGCCCCCATTGAGTCGGTGAATCTTTGCGTTGGACGAACAATACCATAAACACCAGTATTCTGCTTTATTCTCCGCGTAAGTTTATTCTCATTTGCACGGCATAGAAACTGTTCAAACATAAAGACATGTTTTTCTGGTGCACCGTTTCTCCCCCGACATCGTTTTTTTTAATTTATATAATGAATTAAATGTATTTTGTACTATCATTTCGCTATTGGCGCACTATTCGTAGTGCTAGTATCCGTGTTGTCACCTGTCATGGCTTCGCCGACTGAAAGCTCTAATGCTGGAAAGAGTTAGCTTATTATTTTAAAAGATTTTGTCCGACCAAGCCGTGCGTGTGCGCTTAAATGTACATTTCATTAACAATCTACAAGAGTGTAAAGCAGGATTTATGGGGCTTCAAAAGATCACCGAGGGGACACGTTGTACCATCTATTTTTTGTGCAGTAAGGCGCCGTGACTCTTGAATTCGAATGCGGGAGACTGCTGAAAATCAATTCAAGATAAAAAAAAATTAAAAAGAATTTTCTGACAATGTTTATATGTCGGGGCCAATTTCCTACATATTACGCTCAACAACGACAATTATTATTCATGTAATAATAATTATCGTTATTAATATTAATCTAAAGATAAAGAAGAGCGAAAATGTAAACGATGTGTAAAACAAATATTGAGTTTTAAGGAAATGAGATCGAACCTAGAGAGCAGGTTTCATCTTCTAAGTACCAGGTATTGATAGACCAGAGATCACATAGTTCAGATGGCGCTCTGCGTGAGCGCGCGACCACAATACGTGTCTAATCGGGTAGAAACGGTCCTATTCGCTCAATCGCGATTATTAGCGACATTTATTTAATACTATTTTTAGTATGCTAATTAAAAGCCTTTTCGAAGACGGCATGTGCAATTTGTTCTGTTTTCCCCCCTTTAGTATAAACAATACACATAAATGCTGTAAAAGACAAAATATATATATAGAGAGAGAATAAAAGGGGTATTTATTAGCCTATCTCCCATATAAATAACTTTATGAAAATATATGAACCGATATTTAGCGACAGATTTGAAATATTTTAGCAGTCGACGGTTCGTCATTACCCAGTATAGTACTGTTCTTATTTAAATAAATGATTACCTCAACGTCAGACAAGCAGTTTAATATTCGTTATTTATCATTGGCTGGACTTAATATTTCCCTTTCGGAATGGTTTTAGAACATTTCTATTATTGATAAATGTTTGTTTGCCTATTAATCAGTGCAGTTGGAATAAATAATTATAATAATAATGACAACAACACATAAGGATAAAGAATAATACTTTTTAGGAATTCATAATTGTCACAGTGCTCTATTTTAAAATAACCGTTTATTTAATACAAATAAACGGTTTTTAAATTTCCAATCCCAATCCAAAGTGGTCATTAAAAAGCACAATGCAGATAATATTACAATTGATGCTCACAGTGCTATCACGTTTGTTCTTGTTCTCTTGATTCAAAGGGGGGTGGGGGGGGGAGGGGGGGTGAACGCCTGAACGTGCGGATCCCATCGCTGTACTGCCTTTCAGGAGGGGCCGGACGAAAGACTTTGAACTGAGCAGAATAGACCGCCACGGAGAACCGCTACTCTGTTCCCATCGTAAAGTCATTTACACATTTTTGTTAGTTCTAATAGAGGGGTGGTAAGAATAATTGATTCTGTTGTCAATTAAGGATATTTTCATTACGGCAGGAGGAGAGACTTCCAGACCAAATCAATAGGCAGTTATATTGCTTGTGGCACATAGATAACTAATTTCAGTCTGGAACATCCTCGAGACTCTCCCGCTTTGTATACATAAGAAGAGCGCGTTTCTTATCAAAACGCCTTTACCCTTAGCATTTTCATTACGAAAAGGAAAACTGTGCTGAAGAACACAAAACAGATATTTGATGTACGTGTAAAATATTTTCTACTTAAACTAAGTTAAGGAGAGCGACTTTTCCCATCAACTTTTCCGCAGGCTACACGAGTACAAACAACAGTAATGTAAGGAATTCTGTATTCGTTTTTACATCCTTTTCCTGAGAACGTCCTAGAGACAAGCCTTATCCTCATGGTTGTGAATAGCGCCTTACATTCACTTGCTCCCTCATTTCCTACTTTTTCATATGCTAACACTTGCAATGATTAGGTCGTTAACACCTCAGCACAACCCGTTAAAAGCTTTTATTTATAGTTGCTCATTGTTACTGCATGGCCTCGTTCCTGCTTCATTTCTTTAAATCCGCGTCAATCAACCGAAGTTAATATTCAAGTTCAATTTGAATGGATGACACAGTGGAGATAAATAAATAATAATAAACTTGCCTTTGAACTAAAAAAGACCTCAGCCTTCCACCTTAATGACAATTACTTCATTCGCTTTAAGACGATCGCAAGCTATCGACCGAGGACCGCACTTTATTTTTAAGTATAAATTCCATCGCATGCAATAAACACGAGCACACAGTAATAACTAGAAGAGAGTCAATTAACTTAGCTGTAGACGTTTTCATTCAGCAGCTTTCAACACAATTTGTTTAAACAAAATTAAGATTGGTTTTTACAGCAGCAGAATTAATGCGCGTCAGAACTGAAGGTTTCAATCATGCAGGCCAATTGTCTCTTTTCTCTCTCTCTCTCTCTTGCCCCGCTAATGTTAAATGGTCTATGACGGACGAACAGAGCCAGGAAGTAGTGGCAAGCGGCTTTACTGTTGCCCCTTTGTTGACAAATCCATGAAACAACTCCGGACTGCATGGTATAACTGGGGGGCCAGCTGACGTCACGTGGCCACGTGACCCCGCCGATAGTATATCTTTAACTGAAAAGTAATCTATCAGACAGTCCTTAAAAACCGGCCTTAAAAGCATGTGTCATCCCGACTGCACCACCCGGAGTTCGTCTTAGTTACTATAAAACGCCTTTTGAAGGGGGACTGGTGTAAAGCACGCGACACAATTTAAAACTTAAGGCTACACACGACAGGAGAAATATTTTTTAAAGTTTCCCTGGCAGGCCGGGCCGACCTGCATTTAGATTTTGGTGACATTCGATCTGACGGCGACGGGCCACGCACTTACCTCTGGGTTGTTCCTCAGCAAAGTAAGCTGTGATGACTCTGTCTGGAGGCAACAGTGCCAACGACATGTCCGGTCAGACGGTGCTTACTGCTGAAGATGTGGATATCGATGTGGTCGGAGAAGGCGACGAGGAAATGGAGAGGGACAGTGACTGCGACAGCCAGGGGATTCATGAGCGCGCCGAAGAAGTGGAGGAGATCGGAGTTAAGGAGAGGGCGGGCAGCCCCTGCGAGAGCTCCGGGGAGGGTGAAGGCAAGGCGGACGGACAGGAAAGCGCGTCGGGTCCCATGCCGAACAAACCAAAAAACAGCCTGGTAAAGCCGCCGTACTCGTACATTGCGCTCATCACCATGGCTATACTACAGAGCCCGCAAAAGAAACTGACTCTCAGCGGGATTTGCGAGTTCATCAGCAACCGCTTCCCGTATTACAGAGAGAAGTTTCCAGCCTGGCAAAATTCCATCCGGCACAATCTGTCCTTGAACGACTGCTTCGTCAAAATCCCAAGGGAGCCGGGAAACCCAGGCAAAGGCAACTACTGGACGCTGGACCCCCAGTCGGAAGATATGTTCGACAACGGCAGCTTTCTCAGGAGAAGGAAACGTTTCAAGCGACACCAGCCTGATATTCTCAGGGATCAGACCGCACTCATGATGCAAAGTTTTGGGGCATACAGTCTTGGAAACCCGTACGGCCGACACTATGGGATTCACCCAGCTGCCTATTCCCATCCGGCGGCTTTGCAGTACCCTTACATCCCTCCAGTGGGTCCAATGCTTCCTCCGGCAGTGCCCCTCTTGCCGTCAACCGAGCTGAACAGAAAAGCTTTCAATTCTCAACTTAGCCCCAGCCTACAGCTGCAGCTGAACAACCTGAGCACCGCGTCCATGATCAAGTCCGAGCCGTCTAGCAGACCATCCTTTAGTATAGAAAACATTATCGGGGCTTCCAGCACTTCGTCCAGTGCCCAGACTTTCCTGCGGCCCCCCGTGACCGTTCAGTCAGCCTTGCTGAGCGCACAGTCGCTGTCCCTAACCCGGACATCAGCCGCTATTGCTCCTATTCTCAGCGTACCCACGAATATTATTTCGGGACAGTTTTTACCCACAGCATCAACGGCGGCTGTATCGAAATGGCCTTCTCAGTGATTTTTTTTTGTAAACTTGGGGGAGGGGTAACTGTACAGCACAATCTGGCAGCACTGGACTCTGTCCACAAAACTGTAGCCATGTAAAAAGTTTAGAATGAGAGAAACGAGCGAAATGGAATGCTTTCTGTACAGGTAAAATTTGTAAATATTTGTACAAAAAATTGATTTACTTGTTTGAATTGTTTTGTTTTGTCGTTGACTTTATTTTATTGTTCGAACTGTGTTTTATCCGAGCTTTCTCGTTTTGCCCCGAAAGCTCTCCGCAAATAGAAATTCACATTATCATTATGTTTTTTTTTTTGTTGTTGTTGATTTTGCTTTTTAATAAATAAAAATACATTGTTATAATTTGATTGGAGAAATACTGTGTTTATAAAATTTAAATATATGTATTCTATGTAGTTCTACTGTGTTGTAAATTGAAAATCCTTTGTTAATAAATTTTAAAACAAAATAACACAGGTTATGACAAAATGATTTAAAAGAAAAACAAACTGTTATAATTATTCTCGAATTGCGTTGTACAAAAGGAAACGTCTCATTCTGCAATTTTAGAATGGCAAAAAAGTCGTTCGTACTTTACACTAAATAACGTTAAAATAACACTAAAGCAAAACGTCTCTTTATAATTCCAGAAGTACAATATTAGCTGAATAATTGAAGTTTTGTTACAATTATTGTTTAATTCAAATTCCATTAGAAATTAACTGGTACAGTTTCATATTTTTCGATTTGCGTGACGGTAAAACAGTATAAACTGGCGTAAGACAAACAGCAGTAAATAAAATACACCAAATAATATTTTTAAAATATAAAAAATTTAGGCAACGGGATGTTTTTCAGTGAAATATTTCAGTATGTCGGTTAGCCAGATAAACTTAAATTACAGATACGTAGTCACGATAAATATAGTACAACTATACACTTTATACATAATAAAAGTAATATTTATACATAATAAAATATAGATTTTGTAATAAAATTAGAGTTAATCATCACTCGATTTAATATGTGTATAGTGCATACCAAAAATGTAATGTAAAGAAACTGAAAACAGCATTTTACGATTATTATTTGTCTTCATAGCCTAGTATTACTATTATCTTATATTTTCCAATACAGCTAATACGACTTGCCCCATCAGTAATACTACACGCCGCGACTGTAGCGAACGACGCTTTATTTAGCCTACGGATCGATGCAAAAATACAATAATAAAGCACATTAAAATAGTTGTATAGTTAATTCAAATTATGAAATCATTATTAATATATGTTTTACCTATAATTTTTTTAGGTAAATACATAGGCTTTATTAATATCACTTTAAACACGACAGACACATCTATATAACAGCGAACATAAAAACACGTTGGTTAAAAACATGCCTATTATATAATTCAGCATGTTTTTGTTTTATGTAATTGCGACAGTACAGATTAAATAAAAATAGCAGTTAATCTTTACGTGGTAAAATAAATTGTGATTTTTCCAGGGTATCTTTTTACAAGGAAAACTTAGGCGGTCTAAAAACGTTTGCACGTCGCTACTATAAAAGTGACACTTCGCTTCACAGTTGTGTCTGGCTAATCAGTTTTAGACAAACAGCAAATGGTAGGTGGTGTGCGCCGCACAAAGGTTACTGCTATATTTAACTGATACCCATGGGAAAAGTGAAAGCGCCCGCTTCTTGAATTCACTTTCAGACTGAAGAAGCTGCTGATACCATACTTTCAATGACACTGGATAACAGCGCAGTCATTCCAGGGCAGACTTTTTATTCCTTAAAATGAGGCTAACATTTCTTTGCGCATTGCTGTGATGCTTGCAGTCACTGTGCAGTTTGAGTACACATACCACAAATGATTTATTGTGCCTTATGATGTGTAGGATTTCCTTAAAAAAAAGGGAAAGGAAAAGTCATTGCCTCAAGAAAGCAAAATTAGCGTCACACGTGTGGCTGAGCCAATTCCGCACGCAAATAGTTCATTGCAGCGTGGATGACAAACGATTACATTTTCGGGGGGCAGATATTTTGCGGCGTACGTGATTATTTTTGCATGTAAAAACCTGCCATTGATAGTGTGAGAGGCGGATCAGGTTCTTTTGCGCAGTTTGGTTGTAGGAAACATTTGTTCTATCTAACAATTATTAAACAAAAATTTAACAAGATGCCATTCAACGCAATTCAACCTTAAAAATATGACATGTAATAATCTTTATTCGTATTTTTTCCTCAACCAACAGATAACTGTGTATCACCATGCATCCCAACGCATTAATTAGTAATTTATCTAAAAAGGCCTAAACAGTTTTCTCGTATCTTATCCTTTTCTTGCAGTAAGTTGTACTGAAACAGCGATAACTAGAATCATCGCTAGATGGCGTTTCACAGCGTTATTATGCTTTTAGTAAACCGACTTTAAAAGGAAATAACTGGAAGCGTGTGTTCGACTGCTGAGACCTGGGGCAGTATAGGGGGTTACACCTGGCGGAGCAAGTAATGTCAGTGTTGACGGGATATCATATTTATCTGGGAGTAAGGACACTGAATTGTTTAAATTGTAGGGTGTTTAATGGACGATCTATTTAAAGGTTACTCGATGGCAAAGACTTAACTCTCCAACAAGTGCAAGGTTGCGGATCCTTTTTATACGACTGATGTCACGTATGCCTAATAATCTGTCATAGTATTAGGTTGGTATTACTGAACGACAAACTATTTTATATTCCTATTCTTTAACAAAATATTGTAATATTTCCAAGTGATAAGTTTTAACCTTAAGCCCACCGGAGTACCTTAAGTACAGTACCAACAGGTATCCGAGTAACCGATTACGATACGACGATTTTGTAGAATGTCATTAAAGCGGACACACTGCATTTTATCATCCCTTATATAAAGCAAAAATGACACCAAGAAGAAAATTTAAAAGGAAATGTATTGGGGGGGGGGACTCATTGACACCGTTTCGAAAATATGATTGAACCGAAGGATGGACAATAAGAGCAATTTAGCAAAAGTGAAAACTTTCTGCCCTCGAACGCTACAACTGTGTCAAAATGTTGACCTCTGCAGCTGCACCTGCTCCCCAGCACAACACGTGTAGAATGGGAACGTGAAAATCGCCGGTTCCCACAGACACAAGAAGCAGATTCTCCGTGCAATGTTTCTTACTCATCAACATTAAGACCTCCGAAGTGGTTCGTGTTTTATGTGAATACAGGCCTGCCGGCCAAATACTTTGATGTTACAAATATTGCAAGAGAGACATTGTAATGATTATTTAAGCCTAGCAGATGGTTTCAGAAGAAAATCGCCCTAAAGAATTCGTTATAGACTATTTTATTTATTTCTGGTATAATTCATCAAATTCTGTAGAAATTTGCAAGAATATTTTTGAATAATATTGGAAATATTATAATTAGTTTAAAACATCAGTCAATGTTTAAAGACAGGAAATATGGCAATAATAGGAAATCATACAGTTTGCTACATCGGTGTCACCGTCTTCTAGCATATTTCTTACAAAATTAACAATGAGCGCCTAAGCAAATTAAACATTTCTTGAGTTTGGAGTGGCTTACTTTGGAAATGGTTGAGATGATTGAGGTGAGGCAAAGGAAAAACGCTTCCGAAAAAGTGTCCCTATTTAAAATCGGTAATATATACCCTGTATTTATGTATTTTCATGCGAAATCCGCTCATTTTACTTAATTTGTATAATGTGAATATATGATATATATTTAATAGCACCTTAAAGAAGAAAAAATGTAAGTAAAAAATAGAAAATAATCTAATTAAATAAAAAATTAAAGGTTCACCAGGTCGAGGACTTCGGGTCAGGTGCGTTCGTGCACGAGGCTATAGTGTTTAACAAAGATGGCTGTGCTGATATTCACGTTCAACTCACTGTTCAGTGCTTGGCTTGTGTTACGCCACCCATTCATCCATACACCCATTTGCCATAACTGCAAATCCCAAGGAGGCTGGTGCCGATTCCAGCGGTCACAGGACACACGACGGGGGAAATTTGGAGGGGATACCAGTCCATCACAGAGCACGAATGTTACTTCTAATTTCGTATGTGTTTCACACGAAAGGCAAGTAATATTGACAGTACATGGTCAGTCTGTCCTAGACCGAGGCACTACGTCATATAGGTCTCTGTCAAAGTGGCGGGGCAGGACGGAACACTGAAGCCGAGATAGACAATATATTTGGCCATTATTGGGCAATAGTCTGATGGCTACAGTGTAGGTGAATGTGTTTTTATAATTTACAGTCATGTCACTAACAATTTGGAATAAATAATAATATTTTCAATCAGGTAATTGTTTGGTTTAGCTTGTATTGAGAATTTAAACAGTTGTTTTCACCTGACCGGTGTTCTTTACCTTTAGAAAACCTATCTATCATCCATCCATCCATCCATCCATCTATCTATCTATCTATCTATCTATCTATCTATCTATCTATCTATCTATCAAATATAGTCATTATTATTATTATTATTATTATTATTATTATTATTATTATTATTATTATTATTAGTATTAGTATTAGTAGTAGTAGTTACTAAACTATTATACTATTAAAAACCAAACATGGACAGGAGGAACCCATGACAGAAAACTAGTGATTGATTATTCCTACATCGTGATGAAGAATCTGGAAGGAGATGGTTATACAGACGGAGTAAGAGTACAAAATGATATTAAAATATCATCCTGAAAACTAACAACAAATCAATTGTTATAAACGAACGATAAACATTTATATAAATAAACAGACAACATTACTAGAAACGTAGAAGTCCAGTCTTTGGAAGTCCACCAAAAAAGCACCATAAAGCCGTGATAGATCTGCTGAACTATGTCGCCGTTGGACCATGCCAGCCAATTCATCACGTAGGGGGCAGATTGAATAAACAATTTTAAACCAATTCATGATAAGATATCGTAAGATTCATGCTAGATTAATTGCCACTGATTAATAGGCGCAGAAGGGTGATGTCAATCACATTGTGTTGTGGCACCTTTATATCAAAGTATTATGATGTGTATTTTGTCTACAGTATGTCCTTCTTTTGTATCGGGCCACACTCTTTGCTTGAAATTGTGCGCGTCTGTATATAATACCAATTATATACACCGCATACAACGTTAATTACAACTTAGAAGATTTTTTTTTTTTTAACAGAAATATTAACCTAAATGTGAAAATTGGCATGCCCTGTGTGCTGATGTCTGTTACCCAACATCCACGTCGCAGTGTCTGTGTCGCGGTGTCTGTGGCAGGGTAAACGTCACACTTCTTATCATAAAAGCCCAAAAATAAGACAGTCGCGAGCCAAGCTGAGTTTCCCGACGGGAATCTGCAAAGCCAAATTAGCTTGAAGCGTTTTTGATACGCCCTACCGAGCCCCGCTTTA